AACATCAAGTGATGCTTCAGTCCATGATCTAAAAATTTATCAAATTAAAAATTATTTTTAAAGAAAATATAATGTTTACGGTGGACGATGTCGTTTTGGTGTTTCTTTAATAAATAAATTTGCTTTTTCTTTTATTATTCGTTCTATATGAGATAAAGCTACTATTGCTTGTTGTTGTGTACCTAAAAGAAAATGAACAAATCATAATAATTTAATAACAAAAAAAAATCAATTATAAACTTACCCAAAGATGGATCATCTTCTTGAGCAATTGCTAAACTTTCAACAAATACATAAAGTAATTGAAGAGTATAAATATCAACTAATGTTTCTGATTCACTAAAATATTATTTTAAATTTAAAATACAAAGGATAAAAAAAAACTAAAAATATCGTTATACCGATAGAGTGTATATATAGAATTCCATGCTAATGTTGATCCAAGTCTTTTAAAACTATTTGGATGTAATGAAAAACTAAGAATACGTTTAAGAATTGATGTAGCATTTTTTAAATAAGATGATTTATCATAACCACCAGCATGTTTAACAGTCCATTTAAGAAATTCTTTTAGACAAATTCCACTAAAATCACGTATTGATGCATTACGACCAGATATCATACCATTCTATAATAAATAAAAATTGTTTCATAAGAAACTTATAAAAAAAAGAGCTTTAAAAACCATAAATGTATCAAGCATTGACATTGTTTCAGGATTTTCATAATTTTGATTTTTTGTAAACCAATGTATCATTTGAATCATAAATGTTGTAAATAATGTTTTTGTAAACTAAATTTTTAATACAATAGGTTTTTGTTTTTTTTAGAAAATACAAATTAAATTCTATTACTGTATCTGAATCACAAGATAATTCGAGTATAGCAGGAAATAAATGTTCATAGAGTTTATCATAAGAAGCCTATATATAAAAAAAACGAATAAAATATTTATATTTTTTTGGATGATATTAAAATAAAACCCGACCGCTGCACTACTTCGATTATTTGCACTTTTTCCAATCATATAAAGCATTATGGATTGAAGTAATTCACATGCAGTAATTTTTGTTTGACGATCAGAACTATGTAATGCTAAATCAACAATACGAGGTAGAAATATATCTAAATTAAATTATAAGATTAAAAAAAAACAAAGGTTAAACAAAACAAAAGAAAATTTTCTTATTATACCAAGATGAATAATAGGTTTTATATCATCAAATGGTACATGAAATGTTATATGATTTTCATTATCCCATGCTATAGCTTCTTTTATTAAATGATTTGAAGTATCATCAATAAGATAATGATTTATACGATTGCCTAATGAACCAAGATATTTTAAAATACGAAATTGTACACGACGAATATCACTATCTTCAAAAAGCTATGAAGAAAAAAAAATAAAAACTACTATAAATTATTTCATAAAAATTAATAAATCTAATTTGAGATAATTGTAAACAATAAATTTCTTTTCTTTATTTTTAGTTAAAATATGTTTTTTAATTTTGTTTAGTTGACGAAATCTTTAGAATAAAGTTTATCATTCGAAAAAATTTACTATATTAGTAATAGATTAATTTAACGAGCTTTGATACTCAACGAAACTACTATTTTCCTTAAAATAAATATTACATGATTAGAGATATGTCATTTTTTTTCTTTATTTGGGCTAATCTCTCTTGAATTATAAGAACTTTTTTTTTCATTTAGTTCTGTTCCTATACATGTCAAGCCTTGACTCTATTCTAAATAGAACATTCAATTTATTTTTCTCTATTGAAATTATTCGAAATATAGCACACTTTTCGACTGATTTAAAGTATGCGATGCTGTCAATTAATAGTTTCGTTAGCTTACTATATTTTTTTTACAACTAGAAATAGTTGAAATTCAAAATAGAAATCTGCTCTGACTTTAAGTTCTTTCGTCTCGTCAATCAATTCAACTTCCCATAGAGAATGACTAAGCACATACAAGCCACAGTGATGGGCGTATGTCATAAATTAGTTCGTATGCTGAGTGGTACACATTATCCTACACAAAGTGCTAGTAGTGGTTTATTTAGGATCGTTCCGTGTTGGGCAGGTACGTGCCCAGAAATTTTCTGAAGGGAGGGCCCAAAGTCCTTTGGGGAGAGGGGGGACACCATGGGAAAATTACAAAAATTTGCTGGGAAAAAACGTACACCTGTACCCCCTACAGGCGTCTTCAGTCCTGAGGGGGGCCGAACCCCATGGGCTCTCTCTCTTCGGTACGTGCCTGATGTTTGTTAACGGTTATATATTTCGTTTACTTCCTCAATAAAATTTCGGTTAACAATTTTTTTTTAATCCAAAGACATATTTGACAAAACAAATGATTTTCTCATTTAGAAAAGAATTCATTTTAATTGTACTTTCAGTTTAATTGTCTATGTAGTTTTAATATTGAAATGTTTTTCTTTTTGTTATATAAAAATACATACATGTTTTATTTGTTTAGTTTTTTTAAGCATTCGTGTTGGTAAAACACGTTTAGTTTTCGAATTTAAACGTGTTTTTTCTTGTAATGATGAAACAACAGCTCGAACATTAACATCATCACCTAAAAAATATTAACTAATTAATTTATATTTATTTATTTTCAAAAATTTTACCTTGATCATATGATAAACGAAGAAAATCATCAAGATAAGGTAATATTTGATTATAAAAATTCGGTAAATTTAATGATATTGATTTTGACCATCGTTCAAGACTATTTATTGTTTGTTCAGCTAATGGTAAATAAGTTAAACCAATACTTAACGCAAGCTAAAATAAATAATAATAATTCTTTTTGTGTGTGTATGTGTGTGTGTTAGTTTTACTTGAATAGCTGGTACATAATCAGCAAAATCATAATCAATACATTCTGATGGTAATGAAATAATAAATTGTAAACATGATACAAGTAAATCATCACGATATTGTTTTTGACGAGAAAGTACTTCATGAGCAAATCGTCGAACAAGTGAACAAACAGCTGTAATTTGTTCATTTTCATTTATATCAATTTCCATCATTTCAATACCAGCACGTGTTGTTGTTGTTGTTTCTACAGAACGATTTGACTAAGAAAAAAAGAAAATTTAATAATAAAAATTTTTTTATAATTATTTTTAATTACTTTAAAATAATCAAGTTTTAAACAAATATTCATAATTAATGTAGCAAATCGATATATACCACTAACTAATGGATATCTAAATTAGAAATATTTATTTAATTAATATCAAAAAAACAAAAATGTAAGAATGATATAAACAAACTTTGTTGATGTAGCAATAATATCATATAAAAATCGAAATATCCATTTTTGAAATAATTCTGGTGTTTGATCTGGTAATAAGTCTCTGTAAAAAGAAAAATAAACAATAGATTAATCCTTTGCTCTCGAATGTCCTCTGATGAAGAAATGAAACATGGAAAAGCAACAATGGAGAGAGATCCAAAACTTAGACGCGCGGTTTCTATTTCACTTCCCACAAACTTCAATTTGCTAATATGTAATTCAATCACATGCTGTATTGCACAAGGATAAGAGCAGTATATGAAAAATCAGGATTAATTCCATGAAATGGATTCATAAGTGATCTCGTTGTTAAACGTGTAAGACTTATATGCTCAATCAGAAGGGTTTACTAAACATGTGTATCACTACCAGCGTAAAATCCTGGCTCCATCACTCCTATGAAGTGAAAAATCACTAAAACTATATGATCCACAACTACCCAGAACGATGATTTCAGCCTTCGGATACTGCAGGAAGACATCGGAAATCGACGAAACATAGAAGCAGTATTCCAGTTGGGAATTTTCTGGATTTTTTTCCGATGATTTCTGACCGATTCCTACTGGAAAGAGCAGGAATTGGCTGGAATCCACCGGAAAAAAATCCGAAAAATTCCCGACCGGAATACTGCTTCCAGATTACCGGCCCGAACTTCTCGACCTGGGTGACTTTATGTTGGTTTTCTATCTTTGAAAAGTATGATGAAAATAAAATTTTCTTTTAGAAGTCTTTTTCTATTTGTAGGCAAAATATATCCTGGAGATTTGTTGTGTAATTTATACCGATGGAAATGTTTACTAGTGAATTAAATATATTTCACAAAACTATACTTATATAATTATTTTATTAGTTGATCTTCTGTTTTATAATTAAAGAAAAACTTACTGACAAAAATCGACAAGATTATAGAATATTTGAAAATCCATTGGTTTTACAGGTCGCATACCAAAAACAGGATCACTCGTTGCAATTTCATCATTATTTTCCTCCTAAATTTATAATTATATTCGAACAATAAAAGTTAAAAATTTTTCTTTACATCTGCTTTTTCTTTTTCAACACTTAAATCAAGTCGATCAATAATATGTAAAATTGAATCAATAATTTCATCATATAATGATACAAGCATATTTTGTCGATCAAATATTGGATATGCACTTGTATCAAATTCCTTTAAATAAAATAAAAATAAAGCTTTCAATAAACAAAAACAAAGCAATTTAATTACTTTTAATGAAGTAACACTTAAAATTGATCTCCATAATGGAAGATAATTTTCATATGTAATTGTTTTTCCAATTGATAAAAGAGATTTAAGTTTATCTTCTGATACATCTGGTTCATAATTTTCTAATTGTTGTTCAACAGTTGATTTTAATGGATGTGAACAACAACGAATAAGTGTTTGAGTTACTTAAAAAAAAAACAAAAACCAATGTTTAATTATTAATAAAAGAAATCAATATTCGAAAAAAACATTAATTACCAATTCGTGATAAAAATGGTTTATATGAATTTGGTTTTGTTTGTAAAGCTAAAATCATTTTAATAACAGATGAACATGTTGTTGCTTGTGGTTTTGGTTGATAACGTGGATAATAATCAATTGTCATTACAGTTAAACGTTCAAGTGGACCAAGAAATTCTTCACCAATCTACAAAAAAAAATTAATTAAAACTTAACGTTTCTTTATTTTTACATTTGTCATTTCAATAATAATAGCTGAAAGTGCATCAATTAAATTAGGTAATCCATAAAAACGTTCATCAAATATATCCATTGCTTGTGATAATGTTACTGTTGGCATTGCTATTTGTTCACAACGTTGAATAAGACCAACAAACATAAATTTAATATCTTCTTCTGTACCATAAAGTTTACAAGCCTATACAATAAAAAAAAGCAAACAAAGCAATTATTCATATTTTATATATTTTCATATTGAAAAATGAATATACAGATTAGGATTGAGAAACTCATTCATAGAAAGATTCTCTTGAATGAACTATAGAATATCTACCATAAGTAAGTGCACACAAGTTTTACTGTAGTTACTATTATTTTCAAGTTATTCAATTAGAAAAATAAATCATAGTGTAGTGATGGGTTCTCTCGATTATGATGTGCACAGGACAAGATTTCCTCTCCTGTCCTGTCCTGCTAGCTATCTCAGTTCTGGCGGGCGGCAGGACAGGACAAAAATCAAAATCTTGTCCTGTCCTGTTTTCGTCCTGCTAATTTTTCCGTCCTGGTGGGCGGCAGGACAAGACGACATTACAATTTCTGCCAATTAAATCAGTTTTCACAGGTTGTAAAATGCCAAGAGTGAGTTTTACTTTTACTTTCATTTTACAAACCAAATATCATCAGTTACCCAGGTCAAGCTCGGTACGTCGGAACCGACCGGTTCCGTTGAATTCCGACGATTTCTTTACTACAGGATTCCGGTCCAGATTTCGTCGGACCAGTTACGATTAGTTTCCGTCGGTTCCGTCGATTTCTGACGAATTCCTGGTCGAAATTTTGCGGAACTTAACGGAGTTTTTCCGGCGGAAACTGGACCGGAATCCTGTAGTCAAGAAATCGTCGGAAGTCAACGGAGCCGACCGAAAACCAACGGAATCTATAGGATCTGCTGCCGGAAAACAAAGGAAACAAACGGTTCCGGCGATCGGAACAGTGGACCTGGGTAATATTTTCTAACGAATGCATCTTATATATTATTTTCAAGAAAAAAAATATTAGAAATGAGCACAGGACAAGGTTCTTTTACCTGTCCTGGCGGGCGGCAGGACAGGACACTAGGACCGTCCTGTCCTGTGCTCATCTCTGGTGCACAATATACAATTTAAATCATCTAACTTATATTTTCAAAAAAAAAAACTAGTAAAACTTCTTGTTTATAGAATAATCTTACATTAGCAAAAATTCCATAACCACGAATTCCCATTGCCAAATCTCGAATTTCTAATTCTGGTGTATCAATTTTATCTCGAAATTCTTTAATAAAATATTGAAAAACTTGTACAGCACGACGACGTTCTTCTGGTGTTTTAACATTTGTTTCTTTTAATGCATTAGCAACCTTTAAAAAAATGTAACATAAAAATTTTAAAAAAATTGTTTTAATTTTTTTTTTTACTCCAAGTAAAAATGTATCATATGCACGTTGAGCTACTTTTTTTACATCATAATTATCATGTGCATTCCATGCTCGTATACACCGAAGTATTTCAGGATAATCTTCATAAAGATATTCAGTAAATAATGTTGAATGTTGTGCAAATAATTCAAGACCAGCTAAAATATAAAATAATGTTTGTTTTTTTTTTTGGGTTTTATTAATAATAAACAAAACAAAAATAGATTTATTCTACCTTTAACTAATGCATATCGATTTAAATTAGTTTGATCTTGTGTTTGTATTGCTCGTGCTGCATAAATATAAATACGTTTTAAATCTGATTCACATCGTATTCGTTCTTCATTATAACGTTTTTCATCTTCTTTAGTTTTACTTCGTACTATAGGTGGTGGTGGATTAGCTATATTCAAATAAAAAGAAATAAGAAAATTTTGATTTAGTAGTTTTCGTAATTATAGAAATAAAAAAAAGAGCTTTACCAGGTGTTGATGATGGAGTAAAATTTACAAGATAATTAACAAGACCTTCTATTGCACCTGCCGCAATTAACATTTCAAATTTAACATCTTTGACTAACTAAAAAATTATTAAAATTTTTATAAGGAAATTAAAAAAAACGGATATTTTTAGAATATTCTAATCTTGTTTATAATCAAATATGATTGTAGTGTCATCTACAGTTGAATTTTAAAAGTTCAACAAAACAATAAGCGAATTCAATTACAGTGCAGCTCAATAGAATTTACCCCCTTTGTATTCTTCCTTTTTCTCAACCATAGTTTAGTCTTTTCTTTCGAAGTCACCTACCAAAAGAAAGAGCAGAATCTGCTGCATCTTTTGGTATATGAAACTTATAGATGAGATCGAAAGAGAGCAGAGAAAAACACATCGAGGAAAAGAAGTAGATTTTTTTTCACTACAATGTTGTGCATAACCTTTTGTTAGGGGGAGGCAGCACCATGTTTTTGAGTTGGATACCTGATGAATTTTATACCAAATGAAAGCTCGTGAAAAATAGAATTTATGCTTCCATTTAGTTACACTTAAAATATGGAAAAGAGGTGATAAATCCTAGAAAATCTCGAACTTCGTGTATTTTTTGCTGCAATTTTGCAATTATTTAAGGATGAAGGGGCCGGACTTTTCTAGTTACTCACACTTGTAGACCCTTCCACGCTGATCATTTCGGCTGAATTTATTTTGAGTTTTTCTAAAATAATTATAGCATCTGGGTTGCAATACTAATGAACTGCTTGGTTCCATCATCCACAGCACCTCCAAATCATGAATATTGTTATCGGAGCATTGTCATTTTGTAAGCGAAACTCGAAATAAATTCAGCCAAGATGATCAGCGAAGAAAGTTCTATAAGATTGAGTAACTAGAAAACTCTGACTCTGTTACCTCCCTCTAGCAAAAGGTTATGCACAACATTGTAGTGAAAAAAAATCTACTTTTTTTCCTCGATGTGTTTTTCTCTGCTCTCTTTCGATCTCATCTATAAGTTTCATATACCAAAAGATGCAGCAGATTCTGCTCTTTCTTTTGGTAGGTGACTTCGAAAGAAAAGACCAAACTATGGTTGAGAAAAAGGAAGAATACAAAGGGGGTAAATTCTATTGAGCTGCACTGTATATTGAACTGTCACTTGAGATGATACTTTTTATTTATTATGTTACTAATTGACATTCTTACTTGTTCGTGTAAATATTTCAAATATTGACCAAGTAAAAGTGGATCTGCATATTTTTTCATATGTTCTGGAAAAAATTTACATAATAGACCGAGAAATGCTAAACACAATCCTTTGACTAAATATGAAAAAAAACAAAAACAAAGCAAAACTCTTAATTTCTTTCTATTATAAAAATAATCAATTAACTTGTTGCTGTCGCTTTTGAACTTTGAAGACCAATTTGATCTAGAAAAATTGTAGCCATTTTATCAACTTCATTTTGCATATCTGAAGAACCGGCACTTAATTCCATTAACTAAATCAAGTATTCTTACATATAGAATACGAATAATTTTTAATATTTACTTGTGATAAAACAGGAAATATAGTTGCTCTTACATCAGATGCATTATCGACATTAAAAATTGTTAATAGAACTGTTTTAAGTTCAATAGCATGTGGTAAAATTTTTACACCAGCACTTTCAACAAAAAATTTTAGAAATTGTAAAATTTCAACTTTAGTTTTTTTTAACTAAAAAAAAATTAAATTTTCTTTTTGTTTTAGTTTCGTTTCTTATTCTATTGAGAAAAAAAATATATATATATATATATTACTTCAGTTTTTGACGATGAACGTCGAAGAAATGTGAGAATATTCTTTTGACCACAAAATAAAGCTGATAAACACATAGCTTAAAAATTTGAAAACAAAAAAAAAAACATTTAATTAGAGTTTTTTTTTATTGTTTCGTTTTTTTTTTCTTTATATTATATGCATCACCTGTTTGCATTGGTGATGGATGTTCAGAATAAGCTTGTGCAAGATCAGCAACAATTATTGATGATTGCTCATCAACATCTGACATGTCACGAAGACGATCAAGATTTTCATGTAATTCAATAATATAATTATCAAAATTCGAAGCCGATGAACTATCCGTCATTTTCTTTTGTTTTATTGAACTAAATAATATTTTCACATGAAGAAAAAAAAAAAAAAAAGAAAAACCACCTTTTTTAATAAAATGGTATTATTGGTTGATTGTGCAATAACATTGAAGAACGAATAAAAAATTTCTCGACAACCTCTTTAATAATATTTATTCTTCTAGAATTTATAGAGGATAGAACTAAGCAAAACTATTTTATTGAATTTTATTAATGTCGTTACAATAAACGATCAATTTAATTATTATGAATAAAAACTAAGAATTAATGACAAGAAAAATTCAATTTCAAGTTGTTTATTCAACAAGTTTTGATGAACAACATCCAGCTAATGAATTACATCATCAAGGACCATTTGTAAATGGTTGGCAAAGTAGTCGACTTTGTTCCTATCCACAAGAACTTGTCCTTCAATTTGAAAATTATGTACGTTTAAAACGTGTTCAATTACTTTCTCATCAATATCTAATTGGTAATTTTAACCTTTTTTTTTTTTTATTTTCCAAAATTTTTCTTAAATTATTTATTTTATTCATTGAAGCATCAAAAATTGAATTTCTCATCGGTGATTGTTCATCCGATGAAAACGTAAAACATGAAAATGCACGTTATACTCGTTTAGGGTAAAAAATTTAATATTTAATATTTTTTGAAAATATTTCTTTTTATTTTTTTAGTTATATTGAATTATCAAGTAATGAACGAACAGAATTTAAATCTCGTGAACTTAAATCAATACATGTCGATGCTGATGGTTTATTTTTAAAATTAATTATACATAAAAATTATACAAATCGACATAATCTACATAATCAAGTAAGAAGAACATATTACAACAAATTAAATTTATACAATTTTCTAATAATAGGTAAGCATTATTGCAATTAATTTGCTTGGTAATGATATTGATAAGGTAAGAAAAATTTTCTATCATAATATATTTTTTTTCTTTTAAAGAAAATTAATTTATATAAGTTAAACAAAAAAAAAATCTATTTTATTAAAATCGAATCTAATTCAAGGTCATTCATGACACTTTTTATTCTTGAAAAATTTTCAATTTCTCCATCGAAACCAAATTTTTCTTTTTGCGTTCTGTTAGAAAGACATTATTTAAATTGTTTCAATAAAAAAGAAAAAGACGTCATAATTATATCTACAATGTTGAGTGTTTCGAATCATTAATGATTCCATCAAGAACTATATAAAGAAACAAGATCTAGGTCAACACTTTATAATAAAATACAGTACATATCAAGAGGTAATACCGAGTTAGTCCTCTTAGAATTTGTGATTATTGTACCATGTACTATATGTTTGTATTCTCAAAATAAGCGTTCGTTTCTACAGAAGAGAAAATCTAGATAAAACATTGCTTGTAGAACTCTCTGTAATCATTTAATTTTACATATTCTTCCGATTAGCTATGAACAGAAGGATTTTGAAAAAGTCAGTTAATGGGAAAACTGAAGAAGTGATATCTATTGAATTCATGTATGTATATAATTTTTAGACGCATGAAAATCATGATGAACCATTCGATTCGAATTCAAATAAGTAAATGAACATATTAACAATGTTTTGTTTTTTTTTTGTAATAATTGAATATGATTTTTATAAGATCGGATCAAATATCAATTGTTGATGATCTAGCATTTGCAATGTATCAAGATCCTGAAATAGCTGTGATTATTAAAAATTTAGATCGAAAAAAACAACAATATGTACATGGTAAAATAAAATAATTATTTCGTATAATTTTAATTAATTATTATAAATATTTTAGATGAAAATTTTGATCAAGCTGGAAAATTTAAACAAGCAATACAAGAACTTCTTAATGTAATAGAAAAATTCATTGAATATTCAAAAATATTTTCGATTTTTGTTTTTATTTAGATTGGTGAACGACTTGCTCGATATGAAGTTGAAAAACGACAAGCTATTGAAGTATGTTTAAAAAAGAGAATAAAAGATTTTCTTCGATTGTTAATACAAGATGATTTCATTGATATAGCATATCATAAGGGGGACAAAATCTAATTCGTTTTTTATTTCAAATAATGAATTTAATATAAATCTAGATGATTTATACTTGAACAAATACTGTCAGTTGTACAACATGGAAAGACTTTAATGTAACGTCCGGAATAAAAGATCTCTGAGTTTTTTAAGATTTTCAGTTGCAAAACTATGAAAACTTGTCATATTTTTGATGTAAAATAAACTAATTACAGTTTCGTTTTTTCCTGAAAATAAATTAATTGAGGCAGTAGGGATTTTCTAAAACGTTCGGCACATCGTCCTTACAAATGGATTTGATATTATTGATGTAGTCTTTTATTATTACATGCATGCTGTTGAACAATAGCAGAATAATATAATTTTTAGATACTTAACCAGGATTTTCCAGTATCCTGGATCTCTGTTAGAGAGCATGGGTCCTAAATGAAAACTTATGTACATTGATATTGAACTCAAATGATGAGTTTCTATCGAAAAAAATTTTGAATCAGAGTTTGCAAAAAAAATTAGCATTTTCCTGAGCCCTACCAGAAAATGTTTCACATCTTTAATGATATGTTGTTTTCAAGAATGCCATCGAAAACTACATCAAATTTCATCGACAGATTTCAAATTTCATTTAAAAAAATTGATCCGTTCAGAAGTTGTGCAGTTTTCAATTCCTGGTGAAATTTTTTCGAAACGTCTCGAATCTTAAAAACATCATAACTTCTGAACGGATCAATTTTTTTAAATGAAATTTGAAATCTGTCGATGAAATTTGATGTAGTTTTTCGATGGCATTCTTGAAAACGACATATCATTAAAGATGTGAAACATTTTCTGGTAGGGCTCAGGAAAATGCTAATTTTTTTTGCAAACTCTGATTCAAAATTTTTTTCGATAGAAACTCATCATTTGAGTCCAATATCAATGTACAGAATTTTTCATTTGGGACCCATGCTCTCTGATGGAGATCCAGGATATTGAAAAATCCTGGTTACGCCACTATTTGAGATTTGTAAATATTTCGTGAGAAAAAGTCAGAAAACAATTTCTTGCATTCGAATCAGAACTTTCTTTTATTTTCGAGCTTTATTATCGGAGAAATATATAAGTAAAGAGTCCTAGTTTGTGAACAAGGAAGTAATTGAGATAAAGATATTCCTAATATCCTAGACTGACTAAAATATCATCATTTCAAACATTCGAAAATGTTTTCTATCCATTACGACAGATCTAAAAATGAAATTCACCACTTTTAAGTTTATATTTTGAATAAATCGAAAGAATCTTTCATCAAAGTTAATTCTACAGAAATTCAAATGAATAGACCATTCTCTAAAGAATTACTACAGTGTTACTGAATTTGTTATCGCATGATGAAATCTTAACAAATTAATCATTTCTCTTTAAATACTCAAATTATAAATTCAAATATGATGAATTTCTTCATAAAAATATCTATTATTCAATTTTAGAATGAAGATTATGAAGTAGCAAAAGCAAAAAAAGACAAAATTGAACTTTATCGTGCTGAAACATATAAACAACTTCAAACACTTAATTTACTTGATATTGTTATTGTAAGTAAAACAAAAATTTTAAAAAAAATTTCATTTCTCTTTCTTTTTTAATCATATAATCTCATATTATAAATAATAATAAAAAACATATATATATATCTCCATAGGAGGGTGGTGAAGGTACCGAATTTTTAAAACATTTACAGGAAAGTAAATATAATGAACAACAACATGATGATCATGAACAAGAGATAGAAATAGTTAATATGGTAATTTGATAATTTTGCATAATTTGTATTGATTTATTATTTCACATTGTAAAATATTATTACAAGAGTTTTCTTTATCTTTAATCAATAGCACTTGTTTGCATGATGTTTTTTTGTTACATTCACTTTGAAAAATAATAATACGTTTTGTTTTTTTTTTTTTTTGTTTTATTTTATTTTATTAATTTCTAATCTTTATTTTAGCCATCGCGTCCATCAAAACAACAAAATCATGGTAAATTTTTAATTGAATTTGTTTTTTTTGTATTTATAAATTTATTTAGTTCGTACACGAAATCCAATTCGAAATCGTCGTTCATCAGAATCAAATGTTTCTTATGGTATACAATCAACTTCACATGAAGTTTCAACATCACCAATACAATCTATTACAAATACAACACAACAAACAAATATTCGAGTCAATGGTACTAGTTCAAGTTCACCAGAATATCAAAAACCATCAACTCCATATGAAGATAAAATTATTCCTACATTACGTAATCGTAATCGTGTAGATATTGGACAATTACAAGGACCATTAACAGTAAATACTGATATAAGTAAAAATAATAATGATGAAACAGAAAGTATATCAGGAAGTATAGCAAATATATCAACAAAAGATGATGCAACAGCTGAATTAAATCAAGCTGAAATGATTGAAGCAAATCAAATGATGATTGTATTCGATAAAAATTTGGTAAATATATTTTCAAAATATTTATCTAGAGCAATTGAAAATATTTTATTTCCATATAAAAAAAAAAACTTAAGAAAATTTCAATTAAGAAATATTTGTTATGATATGTCATAAATAACATTAAATCATATTATTTTTTAATAATGTTTTCTTTATTTATTCTTTTCATTGCGTATGTTGGTACAGAGATGGACAAAATCGCACCGCGCCTCCCCGCGCCTAGGCGCTACGCACATCTCTCTTTCCCTTTGCTCTACCAATCAGTTTCTCAAACTCCACCGAATACCGAGATGCTCTAAGCATGCGCTCATCGAAGCTCAGACTAGTGTAGCGTAGGCGTGAGCAACGGCGCGGTGCGACTTTGTCCATCTCTGTGTTGATATATACTTGTCTTACATTTACATCTAAATTAGAACTTGTCAAGTATAACATATATAGATTTGAATCATATCCAATTTTGAAGATACCAATATCAGTAAAATTTACATTGTAAA